ACCAGGACCAGACTGGAACTCAGACCGGGACCAGACCAGGACTGAGACCAGGACCAGACCAGAACCAACACTAGAACTCAGACCGGGACTGAGACTGGGACTTAGGCCGGGACAAGATCAGGACTGAGACCAGAACTCAAACCAGGACTAAGACTAAGACTGAGGCCAGGACTGAGACCGGGACCAGACCAGAAACAACACTAGGACTGAGACCAGAACTCAAACCAGGACTAAGACTAGTACTGAGACCAGGACCAGACCGGGACCAGACCGGGACTGAAACCAGGACCAGACTGGGACTGAGACTGGGACTGAGACCAGGACTGAGACCAGGACCAGACTGGGACTGAGACTGGGAGTGAGACCGGAATTAGACCGTGACTGAGACCGTCCGGGACCAGACCAGAACCAGGACCAGGACCAGACCAGGACTGAGACCAGCACTGAGAACGGGACCAGAACGGAACTGAGACCAGGACTGAGACCGACTTATTCCTGGTTTAGTCCTGGTTCAGTCCTGGTTCAGTCCTGGTTCAGTCCTGGTTTAGTCCTGGTTCAGTCCTGGTTCAGTCCTGGTTCAGTTCAGTTCTGGTTCAGTCCTGGTTCAGTCCTGGTTTAGTCCTGGTTCAGTTCAGTCTCTGGTTCAGTCCTGGTTCAGTCCTGGTTCAGTCCTGGTTCAGTCCTGGTTCAGTCCTGGTTCAGTCCTGGTTCAGTCCTGGTTCAGTCCTGGTTCAGTCCTGGTTTAGTCCTGGTTCAGTCCTGGTTCAGTCCGGCGTTGCAGTTTAAGTCACGTAGACGTTTTTTTTTTCCATTATCCGTTTTTTTTCCATTTTTCATTTAAACACATTTACATTTTAGTTTTGGAGACAAATAATGAAGAAAACTGTTGCTTTTTCATTTTATTATTTTTGGTTTTATTTTGAAAAAAAATGAACGAATGATACATGGATTTGTTAAACTTGTTCTGTTCATATGTAACGTTAAGTTGTTTCCCTCAAAAAGTCCAACTTATCTATGTTTTTTTCTTCTTCGTGACACATTTTTTGGCCGGAGCGACTTATAATCCAGAAAATACAGGACGTTATGAGTTTGTAAGTAATCAGTAATCCCCCGCAGAAGTGTAATACTCCCTCTTTAAAATGAAACCTTCGCTCTGCCTCCTCTTCTCGCTTCCATCAAACTCAAACATACACACGGCCTCCTCCTCTCCTCTGACTCTCGCCCTCCCCTCCCTCCCTCCTCCTCGCCCATGCATCACCGCTCTTTTGTTTTATTTGGACTAATCTCCCGCGTTCATCATGCCGCCGCTCTCTCCCCGCCGCGGCCTGGCCTTCCTTCTCCCCTGTCACTTTTTTTTCCAAACAGGTCTCAAAATGGCGGCGCCGATCAAAAGCGGGGAAAGGCGCTGGAGACGGAGCAGACGCGCGCTCCCGGGAAAGTGATTTGGAAAAGGTCAGAGGATGGACGTGTGTTTGGGAGCCTGGAGAAACAGCGGGGAGAAGCTGTCGCCGAGGTTAATGGAGGAGCTACACGGATATCAACACAGAGAACAAAGCGGCGCGAGCGTAATGACTCCACATACATGTATCTGTGTATACACCCGCGCGGATAGAATTACTCAACTCTGCAGCTCGCACTTTTTCAAACGCGCCGCTCCCGGACAGCGCGCTCACATTCTACAGCTCTGGACGGCTCCCTAAAGGTGCACTGCGTAACTTTTCCGCTGGAGGTTTCCGTCACCTGCTCGTTTCTGTGGAGATGTCGTCGCTCTGCTTTACATTTATTCAATTGCAGGTGGTTTTAAAGCTCGGAAATACCGAGAAGAACACGCCGCTCCACAGATCTGACCTGTGACTCGGTCTGGTTTAGTCTCCGTGGGGATTGAAAGGTTTAAAGCCATACCGTGGAACATTCCAGACCAAGCAATAACATCTCAATGGGGGGGAAAAAACGGCGAAACAATGCATCTTTTAAGTAAATTACAGGTGACATTTTGAGCACTTTTGATTTAGTGATTTGGTAAAACTGTGCATCATTGGTTCATTCATTTTTCAGAATAAAATAAAAAAATAAGAAAACGAAAAAACAACTATTTTCTTCATTATTTGTCTCCAAAACCAAAATGAAAAAACAGATAATGATTCGTTTTTTCAGTTTTTGATTTTGTGTTTGTTCATGGAAACAGTTTCCCATTTCCATGACTTAAACTGCGATGCCGAACTGAACCAGGACTGAGCCAGGACTGAGCCAGGACTGAACCAGGACTGAAGCCAGGACTGAGCCAGGACTAAACCAGGACTGAGCCAGGACTGAGCCAGGACTGAGCCAGGACTGAACCAGGACTGAACCAGGACTGAACCAGGACTGAGCCAGGACTGAGCCAGGACTGAGCCAGGACTGAGCCAGGACTGAACCAGGACTGAACCAGGACTGAGCCAGGACTGAGCCAGGACTGAACCAGGACTGAACCAGGACTGAGCCAGGACTGAGCCAGGACTGAACCAGGACTGTGGGGACTTGCCCAGAGGTGCGCCCGCATAGACCGTTGGGTGATCAGGGCAGTGAGTGGGGTTGCCTCTCCACAGATCTGACCTGTAACTTGGTTGGACTGGTGGTCTCGCGTGCTTGTTTCCATGGAAATGGATACGTCTAATGCCATGCTGTGGAACATTACAGGCAAAGCAATAGCATATCTAACATTAACATGGCATCAGTACAACTACAGAGGATGAAGAAGAGAGGGTCAGAGGAGCAGAGGAAATAAAAATAAACTCCATCCATCCATTTTCTTCCTCTTCTCCAGGGTCGGGTGGCGGGGGCGCCAGTCTGGGCAGGGACTCACAGACTTCTTCCACCTCCAGCTCCTCCGGGGGGACCAGAGGTGTACCCAGGCCAGTCGACCAGATGACCGAGCCTCAGCTGCTCCTGTCGACGTGGAGGAGCTGCGGCTCTACTCCGAGCTCCTCCCGTGTGACTGAGCTCCTCACTCTGTCTCTAAGGGAGACGCCCAGACGCCCTGCGGGGGAAACTCATTTGTGCCGCTTGTATCCGCGATCTCATCCTTTTGGTCATGACCCAGAGCTCATGACCAGAGGTGAGGAGTCATAGATCGTATATATGAGTGGACATAACTAAAGCACTAGTCGCCGTGTGCCAAATAGGAAGTTCTCCAGGAGGCTCTTCTGGCTCCTTCTGACTCTGGCTCCAATTGACTTACATTAAGATCTTGTGACTCTTCTCTCTGTACCTGCTGCTGTGAGCCTCGTCATTTTGGTCTGAAAATATTAACCTGCTCTAAAGAATCCAACATTTTTTTTTCTGCTACTTTGTCATTAAAAAAATCCTATTCATAACGTAAAGCCTGGCTCCAGACTCGCTCCTGTAACCGTGAGCATCATGAGCCTCATTCGAACGCTGTGGGTGACGTCACACTCAGGCTACGTTCAGACTGCAGCCTGAAGTGACCTAAATCCCATTTTTTTGGCCCCTTTGTGACCTGTATCTGATCTTTTCAAATGTGACCCAGGACACTTGGATATGTGCTCCTGAAACTGACACATATCTGATCTTTTGACATGTGACTTCAGTCTGAACGGCCAAAGTGCATTCATCCACCTACACGTTATCAACAAGACACAAACGTCACTATTCTGCACTGAAGCAGGCGAAAATTGTTAATGAACTCTGTGTGACTGAAGTTATCTCAATCTCCTCCTTACAATAAGTAAGTTGTTCATGTTCTGGTTCCGGTACGAGAGGAACTTTAAAATCTCCAGGTGCTCGATGCTGCGTCCATGTTTGGACAACATCCGTAAACACAGAGACGCTCGCTGCGGTTGACGTCGTCGTGTCTCCAGTGTCACATGTGGGACACTTTTGGGCCGTTTAATGTTCACACTGGAGTCACATACAAGTCACATTTAATTGGAAATGTGAACGACCTCGAAAAAACATCGGATTTCACAAAAAAATTGGGATTGAGCGTTAAACCTGCAGTCTGAACGTAGCCTTAATCCACTTCTTTTATCAAAGCTATGGTAGGAATATATAGGCAAGTTTCATTGTTGACAAAAGCGTGCGTTGCATGCTGGGAATTATTTTGGTCGGTGGCAAGAAACACAAATTCAACATGACGGACGGAGCGAGAAAGCACGTAAAGGGTATTGATCCCGGTTATTTATCCACTCTAACGGCAGAGGACCCAAGACCATTTGACCAGAAATTGGTCATAAGCATCGACGGACGACAAATCACCCTTTTCAACCCCGACAAAAGTTGAACCAAACCAAATTTCTGGTCAGAATCGCCAACTACCTGGACAAATATTCACTTTGACGATATCCACAATGACTTGGTGGAAACTCCTGGGCCATTCACAGCAGAAAAGATGAAAACCTCCAAGAGTCTCGATGTGTTGTTGAACTTGTTGAGTCCACGGTTTGTTAGGATCTTCTACGTTTGCTCTGCGGATGTTTGAAAGTCGTTTAATTCACCGTTAGTGGTTCTTTTCACTCAGAATACGAAAAAGACATTTTCCTTCTTCTGTGCTTCTATTTGTGCGTCCGATAATGCAGCAGGAATTTACCATTATTGGGGATAAATACGCGAGGTTACGCACTGTGTTTGACGCTACCGTGTTTCTTGCCTCCGACCAAAATATTTCCCAGCAGCAACGCGGGCTTTTAATAACAATGACGTCAGCTGAAACTCAACTATACTGACGGTAAATCGAGAGTTTTGCTGTTCGGCTCAGCTCCCTCTTCACCACAACGGTCCGACACAGCGACCGCATCACCGCCGACGCTGCACCTGTCCACCTGTCAATCTCACACTCGAGAACAAGACCCCGACACACTTGAACTCCTCCGCTTGAAAACAAAATCACATTTCTAACCCACTTTTGTTGTGTAGTTCAAAGCTCCGCTGTGACCCGCTTCTCTCACATCACAGAAACATTTGTGCGTCTTTTGGCTCTAATAGACACAACGCGGCTCCTCCACTTTGCGTCCTCTTCATTATCGGCCTTTTGACGTTTTCGTGCCGCCGCCGCCGCCGCCGTGGACTCGGACGACGCTTTCGGTTTGCGTTCACTTCAGAGCTCAGACCCCCGCTCACGTCCATCACTGAGACGCCGCTAAAAGCCCGGGCGGACATGTCGTAAATGACCGTGTGGCTTTGATGTAAAGGTTAACTTAAAGAGGAGGAGGTTCTAATGAGGGTTTTCTATAGGCCCGCGTTTTACCCACAATGCACCGCTCTGCTCAGGCACAAAAGGTGAGTTCAACATAAAGACACTGTTAAACATAAAGGCCCAAGGTCTACAGGTTTTATGTTTTCGTAAATATACGACGACGCTGCTCAGGAATAATGTAAATATCCTCTGTCACTTTTCGGCTGGGGCTCCGTCACCTGCTTGTTTCCATGGATACGTCATTGTTCTGCCTGGAATGTCCCGCAGTGTGACTTTAAACAGCTCGACTTTACATTTATTCAATCACAGGTGGATTTACAGCTCAAAAACTAGCAGCAGTAGTAGTAGTTGTAGTAGTAGTATAGTAGTAGTGGTAGTACGAGTAGTAGTATATTAGTAGTAGTATTGTCGTAGCAGCAGTAGTAGCAGTATTAGTACCTAAGCTAGAGTAGTAGTAGTAAAAGTAGTAGTAGTAGTAGTAGTAGTAGTAGTAGTAGCAGCAGTAGTGATTGTTGTGTAGTAGTAGTAGTAGTAGTAGTAGTAGTAGTAGTAGTAGTAGTAGTAGTAGTAGTAGTAGTAGTGGTTGTAGTGGTAGTAGTAGTATTAGTAGTAATAGTAGTAGTAGTAGTGGTAGTGGTAGTAATAATATAGTAGTATAGTAGTAGTAATAGTAGCAGTAGTGGTATAGTAGTAGTAATACTGGTAGTAGTATAGTAGTAGTAGTTGTAGTAGTGTAGTAGCAGTAGTAGTAGTAGTACTAGTAGTATAGTAGTAGTAGTGGTAGTAGCAGTAGTAGTACTAGTAGTATTAGTACAGTCGTAGCAACAGTAGTAGCAGTAGCGGCATAAGTAGTTGTTTTAGCAGTAGTAGTAGTAGTAGTTGTAGTAGTTATACCTAAGATGGAGTAGTAATAGTAGCAGTAGTAATTGTCGTCGTCATAGTAATAGTTGTAGTAATTTTAGTTGTAGTATTAGTAGTACAGTAGTAGCAGTAGCAACAGTAGCAGTAGTAGTAGTAGAAGTATAGTCATTGCAGCAGAAGTAGTAGCAGTAGTTGTAGTTGTAGTTATAGTAGTAGTAGCAGTATAAGTACCTAAGCTGAAGTAGTAGTAGTAGTAGTAGTAGTAGTAGAGGGTTTGTAGTTACACTAACATTAAATGCTTATAATGTCATTTGTTTTGGAGTAAATACTCATATATATCTCGTATTTAAATGCCATAATAGTAGAATATTCCATGAAAAAACACCATGGAGTCAGGCAGGTGGCGAACCCTCTACCAGAAAAGTTCCACAGTGCAGCTTTAACCCTCTAACAACACAGATCCAGATGTGATTGTACCTTTTTTTAAATCTTAAATAACTCTGGCCTCGCACAGTTCTTCGAAATATTAAAGTACAATTCATTTTCTGCTGAGGCTCGCGTTGTTGTAAACCGCTGCGCCCCCTGCTGGCGGCACACGCACTTACACATCCAAACAAGACTCACGCACACTCACGCACACACACACGCACGCGCACGCACGGACTAATACTCCGACAAGAACTGGCGCTGCGCAGGAAAATGGAGGCTGCATCTCAAACTAAACGCGTTTTAAACTCTAACCTAAAAGTAAAATAATTAGTCTTACGTTATAATGAAGTGTTTTTATCATCATTTATCTGCATAATTTCTCTCTGTTTAAAATAATGAGAGGAATGAGCTTTTATAAACCTCGATATGAGCAGTTTTAGTTTCTCTTTGTGTCTTATAATATGAAATGTAACTTGTTCCGGTTTCCTCTTGCGTTTATTGTGAAAATCGCGCTGTTCTGAGCTTAAAAATGACATTAAAGTGTTTGTTTCTGTGATTTTGTTTTGTCCAGCAGGGGGCGACTGCACACACGGAATGGGCAGCACCAGAACCGAACCAGCGCGGGTCACTCCACCTCTGCTCCGGGTTTTATCACTGAAGAGTCTGAGTTGTGGTTTTGGTGAGACGCGGTTTCAGGTCGGGGCTGTTTGGACCAAGTTTATGTTTTATTGAATCTGGATTTGAGCAAAAGTGTCAAATATCAGACGACAAAAGGCCAGAGCTACTTTATATCCACTATCTGTGTACTTATTTGGCACACAGTAGTAGTAGTAGTAGTAATAGTAGTAGCGGTAGTAGTTGTTGTAATAGAAGAAGCAGCAGTAGTAGTAGCAGTAGTTGTACCTAAGCTGGAGTAGTCATAGTAGTAGTAGTAGTAGTAGTTAGTTAGTTATTGTAGTTGTAGTACTTGCAGTAGTAGTAGCACTTGTAGTAGTAGTAGTAGTTGTTGTTGTAGTAGCATCAGCAGAAGAAGCAGTAGTATGTACTTAAGCTGAAGTAGTAGTAGTGTAATAGTAGCAGTAGCAACAGTATAGCAGTAGTAATAGCAGTAGTTGTAGTAGTAGTAGTAGTAGCAGCAGTAGTAGTACCTAAACTGTAGTAGTAGTAGTAGTAGTAGTAGTAGTAGTAGCAGCAGTAGCAGCAGCAACAGTAGTAGTAGTAGTAGTATTTATTTATTTTTTTGTGTGTGCTAGCAGCAACGGGAGTAGCAGTAGTAGCACCTAAACTGTAGTAGTAGTAGTAATAGTAGTAGTAGTAGTAGTAGTAGTAGTAGTGTAATAGTAGCAGTAGCAACAGTAGTAGTAATTGTAGTTACAGTAGTAGTTGTCATAGTAGTAGTAGTAATTGTTGTTGTTGTAGTATAGAAATAGTAGCAGTATTAGTACCTAAGCTGTAGTATTAGTAGTAGTTGTACTAGTAGTAGCAGTAGTAATACTAGTAGCTGTTATTGTAGTAGTAGTCGTAAGTAGTAGTAGTTGTTGTAGCTGTAGCTGTAGTTGTAGTAGTAGCAGCAGTGGTAGTAGCAGTCGAAGTACTTAAACTGAAGTAGTGGTAGTAGTACTTGTAATAATAGTAATAGTCACAGTAGCAACAGTAGTAGTAACTGTAGTTGCAGTAGTAGTTGTCTTAGTAGTAGTAGTAGCTGTAGTAGTAGTAGTTGTTGTTGTAGTATAGTAGTAGTAGCAGCAATAGTAGCAGTATTAGTACCTAAGCTGGAGCAGTAGTAGCAACAGTAGTAGTAACAGTAGTAGTAGTAGTAGTAGTAGTTGTAGTAGTAGTTGTATAGTAATAGTAGCAGCATTAATACCTAAGCTGGAGTAGTAGTAGTAAAAGTAGCAGTAGCAACAGTAGTAGTAATAGTAGTAGCAGTAGTAGTTGTCCTTGTAATATAGTCATAGCTGTAGTAGCAGTATTAGTACCTAAGATGGAGTAGTAGTAGTCGTCATAGTAGCAACAGTAGCAGCAGAAGCAGCAGTAGTAGTAGAAGTATCTAAGTATAGTATAGTAGTACTTGTAATAGTAGTAATAGTAGCAGTAGCAACAGCAGTAGTAATGGTAGTAGCAGTAGTAGTTGCTTTTGTTGTAGTATAGTAGTAGTAGCAGCAGTAGTAGCAGTATTAGTACCTAAGATAGTAGTAGTAGTAGTAGTAGTAGTAGTATAGTCGTAGCGGCAGTAGTAACAGTTATAGTACCTAAGCTTAAGTAGTAGTAGCAACAGTAGTAGTAATAGTAGTAGTTTTAGTAGTAGTATAGTAGTTGTAGCAATATTAGTCCCTAAGCTGGAGTAGTAGTAGTAACAGAAGTAGTAGTAGTAGTAGTAGTAGTAGTAGTAGTACATTAAATACATATATTGTCATTGTTTTTAAGTTCATTTTTGAGAAAGTTGGACGTTTTAACAGATCCAAACTGAACCTCGGCACTTTGTTTTCGTGTAGGTCCGGCCAAGTACTAACTTTTAAGCACATAGTAGTAGTAGTAGTAGTAGCAGTAATAGTAGTAGTGATGGTCAAATAAACTGCACTTCTAACACTTGTAGTAGTACTTCGACTTCGACAAAATGTATCGATCGACAAGGAACGTGATTTGGATTCATAAGAGCAGGTGATGTGTTGATTTCAGTCACTTAAACGCCGAACTGTCACTTACTTCTGTCTCTGATTGGCTGTGAGGAAGAGGAAGAAGAGACAAAATCGTGGGCAGAGGCGGAGAGAGGAAGAGGAAGAGAAAGAGGGGGAGGGAGTAGAGCGATACGCAAAGAGAAAGAGCTTCCATAAGAGCGTGATGAGCTAATGGGAGTCCACATTCTAATTTGGTTAAATGTATTTTTTAGACTAAGCAAAAGGCGCAGAGTGGAACTGCTGACGGCACCATCTGCAGCTTTTAAAAAACACGCCCATAGACAAAAAAAAAATGAAAACGAAGCTCCCATTAGATTCTATTAGTACAGTGTTTGGATGGGGTTTCACTCTCGGTAGTGTTTTTCCACCTGTTCGCAGTCTCGCTTTTGCTTTTCGCACATTTCCAAACCCTTTACTGCTTTTTTATTCCTTTTTTCTATTTTACATCCGTCTGAAATGCTTCCTTATTTACGTTCTGCATTCAGAGCGTCCAAATTCCTCACCACGACGAGTTTATTGGCGTTTTTCGTGACTTTCAGGGGCGGAGTTTTGCCGTGACGTTGTAAAGCCGACGGCAACTAGCATGCTAACTGCACACTTCCTGATTCTTGGACAATGAAACGCTTTTCTAATTCGACGCAGACGGTACACAGCAAAAACTGAAGGGTTAAAATGTCACGGTGAAATATTTTAGAGTTGTTTTTAACCCAAAAAAGTGTTATTTTAACTATTTGAGAGTTAAATGGGGATTCCAGTTGGGGTTAATTGACAGAGTTGAAGTTAATGTTAATTTTTCACTAGTGTTAATTCAGCTTCCCTTAGTGTTAATTCAACTTCCACTAGTGTTAATTCAACTTCTCTTAGTGTTAATTCAACTTCCTCTAGTGTTAATTCAACTTCCCTTAGTGTTAATTTGGCTCCTCCCACTCACCACTTCAAACTCCTGTGAGAGAAAACCAATTTGAACCAGTTTTGTTCATAATTTCATCTTAAAT